ACTCAGTTTCCTCATCTGTCTAATGCCAAACCACTCCAGTATCTTTCCCAAGAAAACCCTAAATGAGGTCATGAAGAGTCGAATACAACTGAACAACAGCAAAAATAGGACATGGTAACTGAGAAACAGAAGGCCATGTCATTGGTCTCAGAGAGCCTGTCCTCTAGCTAGAAAACAAAGCAAACATGAAGAAAACCAGAAAGCTATGAGAGATGCAGTGGTGTAGAGAAAAGAACAGTGAATGACCTGGCTTCAAATCCTGACTTTGTTACTCGTGTAACCCTGGACAAGTCCTTTTACCTTTCTGTGTCTCAGTTTCCTCAACTGTAAAATAAAAGTGAAACAGAACAGAAACGGCCATTTGAAGGTGGATAGCTTTAGGGAGGAGAGGGGATGATAACTTCTGTTTCGGACATGTTGAATTTGAGATGCTAATGGGCTATCTAGTGAAGGTGTCCAGTAGGGACTTAAGGATGTAGACCTGGATTTGAGGAGGAAGATTAGGGCTGGCCATATAGGTTTGTTGGCCGTCTGTGGAGAGACGATCATTAGCTTCATGGGAGCTGATGAGATTACCAGAAGGCGAGGAGGGTAGGGGGCAGATTGGGTGCCCCTCTAAGGACCCCTCCAACTCTGAAGTCTAAACTAAAGGCCACACTGTGTGGGAGAGACTGTAAGTGTCACGGGAGCTCAGAGCCAGGGCTGGAATGATCACAAAATGCTTCCTGGAAGACGAGGGATTTCAGTTTGACTTGGGCCTGAAGGGATGCACAGGATACAATAGGACAGAGAAAGGAACACCAGAGGGGAGGCATTCTCTTTCCAGTTGCGAGGGTTTGTGGTCTTGATGTTATTATCACTTCCTCACCGTCCCTCAGACCACACATCCAATCAGTTGCTCAGTTGTGTCGTTTTAAAATCCACAGCATCTCTGGACTTCTCTCCACCCAAATGACCACTACCCTAATTCAGGTCCTCTCTCCTGGACTATTACAATAGTCTTGTAGTCACTCTTCTTGCCTCAAGTCTCAGCCTACTACAATCCATCCTCTATGCAGCTGCCCAAGTGTTCCTAAAGTGGGGGCCTGGCCATGGCACTCCTCCATTCAATAAATTTTAGTGGCTCCGCATCATTTCTAGAATCAAAAATGAAGCCTTTTGTGGCATTTAAAGCCCTTTACAGCCAGGCCTCCACTTACTTTCCCACATTCATTTTAAGTTACTTCTCTTCATACACTCAATGATCCCATCAGTTTGGCCTTATACCTCATACCTGGCACTGCAATTCCTGTTTGTACTGGAACATCTGGATTGCACTCTCCCCCTCCTCTCTTTTAGATCTGCTAGTTTCCTGCAAGACTTATCTGAAGTATCACCTTGTATGTAAAACCCATCCTGATCTCTCCCAACATTGGTCCTCTTTGAAAATGAAGGGGGGCAGCCAGGTGGCACAGTGGATAGAGCACTGGCCCTGAAGTCAGGAGGACCTGAGTTCAAATCTGGCCTCAGACCCAACACTTGACACATACTAGGTGTGTGACCCTGAGCAAGTCACTTAACCCCAATTGCCTAAAAAAAAGAGAGAGAGAGAATGAAGGACAAACAACAACAGGTGTCAGGGCCCCCACCACCAAAATCATATCTATTTGTATGTAGCTCACATATACAATAATGTATCTGTTTTGTATATAGCTATATATGTATGTATTGTCTCCCTTATCCCCATAGAATGTAAGCTCCTTGAAGGCAGGGACTTTTATTTGTGCCTGTACTCTAGGACCTAAAACAGTGCCTGGCAAATACTAGGTGCTTGATTAATGTTTGTTGATGGATTAATTGATGAGCAAAGTCCCAGTGGTAGGAATGAGATTGTGGACCTTGGAAGTGAGGCAGAGGGGACAGCTAGTGGATAGTGGATAGAGTGGATAGAGCACTGGTCCTAGAGTCAGGAGGACCAGAGTTCAAATAGCTGTGTGAGCCTGGGCAAGTCACTTAATCCTCATTGCCAAGGAAGAAAGAGAGAGAGAGAGGAAGAGAGAGAAAGAGAGAGAGAGAGAGAGAGAGAGAGAGAGAGAGAGAGAGAGAGAGAGAGAGAGAGGAGAGAGAGAAAGAGAGAGAGAAAGGAAGAGAGAGAGAGAAAGGAAGAGAGAGAGAGAAAGGAAGAGAGAGAGAGAAAGGAAGAGAGAGAGAGAAAGAGAGAGAGAAAGAAAGAAAGAAAGAAAGAAAGAAAGAAAGAAAGAAAAAGAAAGAAAGAAAGAAAGGGAAAGTGAGACAGAGCTTTGACTTTCTATTAGAGGCTCCAGGGTTCTCCAAGTTCTAGACAAGTTTTAGATGAAAGGAAAATTAATCTGGTGGTAGGGTCCGTTGTACAGGATGGATTAGAGCCCAAAGAGACCAGAGCAGGGAGATCAGCTGGGAGCCACCATAGTAGGAGAGAAAATGGAAGCCCCAGGGGCCAGGAGGAATTAAGTGACCAAATAGATCTTGTTATGGACTAATGGAGAGACCACTGGACTTTGAGTCGGGAAGACCTGGGGTTTAAATCCTACTTCAGACACTAGCTATGTTTGAAGCATAGGTCCTGGATGAGTCACTTAACTAACTCTCTCTGGGCCTCCATTTCCTTGTCTATAAAATGAAGATAATGAAAAAGCCTACATCAAGGACCGAGAAAATAGAATGAAATCATATGGCCTTTGCAGATTTTAAAGTGCTAGATACCTGTGATCTAATGTCCACTGAAAAATGGTAGAAGTGGGAGAAGGGGTGGTGAAAAGAGGATTGGAGTCCTGAGAATTGGTCTAGCCCAAGCTGAGAAACAGGCAAAGTTTATCATAGGCCCACCCCTTCTCCAAACCCTTCTCAATGCCTCCTCACCCCCTATATAGCATCCCAGGGCTCTCACATTGTCTGATGTTTGTCCAACCTACCATTCTTCCACCTGTCAACCTGGCCTTTCTAAAGGAAGGAAATAAACATTTATTAAGTGCCTGCTGTGTGTCAGGCACTGTGCTAAGCACTTTACAAATATTACCTACTTTATTTGATCCTCACAATAACCATGGGAAGTAGATGCTATTTTTATCGCCATTTTACAGTTAAGGAAACTGAGACAAACAGGGTTAAGTGACTTGCCCAGGGTCACACAGCTAGTAAGTGTCTGAGGCTGAATTTGAACTCAGGTCTTCCTGACTCCAGGTCCAGTTCTGTATCCCCTATGCCTCCTGAGCTGCCTCCTAAGGTGGGGGTCCTTACCCCTGACCTTCCTCTCTCCTCCCTGTTTCAACAATTACAGATCTTTTCTGATTTCTTGGGTACCTTTGTAGGTAACCACTCACTAATCTAAGAAATGAATCAGAGTTTAGGTATAAATGAGTGCTAATAGGGTCCTTCCTTCCAACATATTTGCTGTGACTCTATATAGCTTTTGAGGGGGGACTCTAATGGTGGGAATTTCATGCACAGCCTATTGAGAGAAATACTGTGGGGGACTGTCACTCAGATCACACTGGGTAAGTGGTTGCTTACACTGCCCATACATGGGGCTGGGATCTCTTCTGGAGAGGAGTAATGAGACAAGAAGCATGCTGGACTGGGTGATCTGGGTTCATGTACCAACTCAGGTACATCTTAGCTGTGTGATGTTGGGCTACTCCATTAACCTCTCTGTGCTCAAGTTTCCTCATTTGTAAAATTGGGTGAGGGATGGACTAGATGGCCTCTAAGATACCTTCCATCTTTAGATCTAGGATCAGATGTTAGATGCTGGGTTTAGGTTCATCCATGGATTTGTGGCTCTGTCTCTTTCTGTCTCTGTCTCTGTCTGTCTCTGTCTCTATCTGTCTCTGTCTCTGTCTCTGTCTCTGTCCCTGTCTCTGTCTATCTATGTCTCTCTGTCTCTGTCTGTCTCTGTCTCTCTATCTCTATCTGTCTCTGTCTCTGTCTCTTTCTGTCTCTGTCTCTTTCTGTCTCTGTCTGTCTCTGTCTATCTCTGTCTGTCTCTGTCTCTGTCTGTCTCTGTCTCTTTCTGTCTCCGTCTCTCTATCTCTGTCTCTCTCTGTCTCCGAGCATGTTGGGAGGAATGGAAGAATAAGCATCTCTGATCAGGGTTGGCCCAGTGTCTTTGCTGAGACTGCACGGGGCACCTTGCCTTTTGGGAGGTCCCAGAAAAAGCTCATTGGGCCACTTTGGCAGGGAAATAAAACAAACTGAATGAGATGTGAAAATCTAGGGATAGCTGTTCTTGGACCAAATATAGTGAAGTATTTGGGGGCATTTTTTCCATTGAATTTCTTCTCAAATAATCGCAGCTATTTATATAAGCCCCCAAAGTAGGCAATGGATGAGGATTGTTAATGATTTATGCTAGATGTTAGTGAAGCTTGTGCGTTTTCCAGGGCCTGACTCAGGCTCTTGTCACGAAAGTCCAAACAGTGGCCTGAAGGGCACTTTGCTTGGAGTCTCATGGGCAGGGCAGGCAGAGGGGGGGGGTGAAATCATGGCCACCCCTCCCCTCCACTCGCCTGGATGGAATTGCTTTCAGGAAGGACTTTGCTCAATGGAAAAGAGCCCAAAGCCACGTGAGGTGGTTCTCTTGGTGATATGTCTGTGCAGGAGTCTGGAGGCAATGTGAACCTTAGAGAGGTTCTTCCAGGGCTGGCCTTTTGGTTTGGACTGGAGCCTATCATTTTATTGTCATTAGGAATGCCTGGTGTGGAAACTCCCTTTCTAGCTGGCAAGGTTATTAGGGCCTTTCTGAAGAGCTACAAGTAAGGCAGAGCACTTGTTTATGACCGAAAAGTGGTGACCATCACAATAGCAGAAAGCACCCAGGCCTCAGCCCCATAGGCCTAATGACTCAGAGTCAGTGTCTTGGATGGCACCCCAAACCAACCCATAGGCCTCTGCTCAACATATAATAGAAAGCAAAGGTTTCCTACCTCCTTACAGTCCTTCCCACCCTCCATCCCCACTGATGTGCCCAATACTTCTAATTTCAGAAGACACCTACACCTCAGAGGAGACTGTGGACCAACAACCAGTCCTGCTAAGAGTGATGGACACTGCAGATCAGGTAATGCCGAAGACCCTCATCTAAGAGCTAGCTTGTGCTGAGTGTGCCAAGAGCCTGGGACAATATATTCAGAGCTGAAAGCCTCCTCAGAGTTGATTTAATTCAACCATATTATTTTACAGGTGAAGACCAGTCATCAGGCCTTCTCTGTACAGTCACTAATGAAAGAAAACTCATTATATCTGTCAAGGCAATGGGGTGACTTGCCCAAAATTGTATAGCTAATAAATGACAGAGCCAGGATTTGCCCCCATTACCTCTAAGAAGCCTTGGGCCCTGGATAAGGAGTGGGAGGGAGGAGTATCACCAAATTCATACCTAAGAAAAGGGTTTCTTGGGCTAGCGATAGTGGTGGTCACAGCACAGGGTCCTGGTCCTTTTCAGCTTCCATGTGTGTGACCCTGAACAAGGTACTAACCTTCCCTGAACCTCAGTCACCTTCTATAAATGAGAATAGACCATTTCCCTCCCCTTCTCTGTCTCTTGGGGATGCTGTGATGACCTCATTTATGGGTTTCAGTTTTTACCTTTGTAAAAAGAGACAGTTGGACCACGTGGCCTCTACATGTGAATATTCTGGCCTTTGAGATCTAATGTTCTAAGTTCTAACATTCTATGTTCTGAGGACTCTCCCATCTCTACTAGTGTATGTTCAAAGATCCCTTCTGCTCTGAAATTCTATGCCATTTTAAATGGAATATTGGCTGAATGATTAGAGAGCCCAGCGGTCATCTGATGTAGTAGTTTTTGGGACAGGGATGGTGATGAGTGATATTTAAGTGTCTCTTAAGCCACACACACACACATTCCTGTGCCCGCATGCACATGATAATAAATGGCTGTACAAGAATAAACATGTACACACTCATAGATGTACATACGTCCAACAATTGTTCCCCTTGGCAAGGTTGTTGGGTCCCTCTGAAGGGCCTTGAGCAATGTCATATGAGGATAATTAACCTGAAAAAGTGAAGGCTCAAGGGGAATATGATAATTTTTGTTTTGTTTTGTTTTAGGCAATTGGGGTTAAATGACTTACCCAGGGTCACACAGCTAGTAAGTGTCAAGTGTTTGGTCTGAGGCCGGATTTGAACTCAGGTCCTCTTGACTTCAGGGCCAGTGCTCTATCCACTGTGCCACCTAGCTGCTCCTATGATAGTTTTCTTAAAGTATTTGAAGAGTTATCATGTGGTAGTTAGATGGCCCCATGGATACAGCATGGGATTTGGAATCATGAAAACCTGAATTCAAATCCTTACTTTAAGACACTCAATGAGTTGGGTGACCTTGGTCAAGTCACTTACCCTCTCTATGCCTCAGTTTCCTCATTTGTAAAATGAGGATAATAATACCACCTACTTCCCAGGATTGTTGTGAAGATAAAATAAGAATATTTGTAAAGTGTGTTGCAAACCTTAAAGCGCTTTATAAATGCTAGCTATCATCATCATTATAAAATAGACATGTTCTGTTTGACCCCAGAAGGCAAAATGAGAAGGAATGGATGGAAACTGCAGAGGCAAATTAAGGTTTAACCTTAATGAAAAATTCCTAACTATTAGAGCTATTCAAAAGTGGAATGGGGTGCTTTGAGAAGCAGTGGGTTCCCCTTCACTAAAGGTGAAGGATGGATGAACCACTTGTTGGCTCTATTGTAGTAGGGAATTCTCAATTGTCCTTTGATGTCTCTCCCCACTCTATGATTCTGTGATTCTGCAGTCACATTCCTATCTTTGCCCTTCACAAGGATGTTGTGAGCAACATAGGAATCTTAAAAATATTTCTAAAAACAAGCCAAAATTGCAAATTGTCTCTCCCAAGCAAGATTTCCAAGAAGGCAAAGTTACATACAAATGGGCCACCCAGTGCTGCTCGTGGATGGTCAGGTCTCAGGGTTGGTGACATTAGAGCCTTTGGCTGCTGGCCCTCAGGATCTGGTGTCTGCTCCTCTCTGGCTGGAGAAGGGACAATGGCCCCTTTCATGCCAAGCCAAATCCAGATTCAAATGTTCCTTTGAAGTGGGCTCAGCTGGGGAACAATGTACAAAGGCCCGAAGGGAGGAGAGATAGGGCAGGGGCACCTCAGGTGAGGCTGGGGACTTGGCCTCTTCCAGTCTCAGATTGAGGCCTGAGACCACCCCCGTGTCTCATCTGCTTTTCTCTCTTACCCCCAGGATGTCCCCAGAAACTGTAAACGCTACCTAAGCTGGGCCCAAGCCTTCCTCGTTGTCTACAGTATTGATGACCGGCGAAACTTTGAGGGTTGTAGTCAATACCTGGAGATCATCACCCACCATGCAAAGGAGACCCAGCATGACCACCCTGTGCTGCTTCTAGGGAACAAGCTGGACATGGCCCAGTACCGGTAATCCTATAATCTAGTTGTTTCTCTTCAACAGCCAGACAGAACGACTAGGTGGCAAATCTGACCGACTTTAGGTAGAATTTTACCACAGGGCAAGGAGCAGACTCTGGTTCCAGTACTCTCTGATTCATACAGAGTCCACTCTAGGTAGGCAGAGCCACTGGGCTCTGGAAGTCAGCATTATAGCTATGTAGCATCTACCATCTAAAGAATACAGAAATCTAATGCAGAACATACAATTCGGCATTTAACATGGGGTCTACATGAGGCAGAGATGTTGTGGGAGGAGGGTATGGGCAGATCCAAGATTACAGTTGAGGTATCTTCACCATGAGTAGCCAAAAAAAAAAAATTACAGGGCATAAAATCTAGTATGTGTGTAAGTGCCCATATACCATAATGCCTCTCTTTGTCAAGAACCTAGTAGGTAAAACCCTATACTATTGTGCAAAGAGCTGAAGGGGGAAGAGGGGAAGGTGGGGTAGGGGGTAGGGATAAAGAGATGTTTATGCCCTGAGGGAGTTAATAGTCATTCATTCATTCATTTTACAGGGGCCACCCTGCCTTCCACCTCCTCACTGATTGCTAGTTTGGGTATTTGAGCACCTAAAACCCAATTGTTGGATAGGAAGGAGCCCTTTCAACTTGGAAAGAACACATTAAGCAATATCATGAAAAGACTGCAGGTCAAGATAGGTATGGAGGTAAGAGATGAGAGCTCCACCTTAAATGAGCTTAAGTCTCTGGGCCTAGGCAAATTATGTCCCATGTTGCTTCAGGAGCTTGCAAATATGTAGGTAATCTTTAAGAAATCATTCCATAAATTAAAAAGAAATTTTAAAAAATCAGACCTCAGGAAAATCCATAAATTAAAAATACATTTAAAAAAAATAATTAGACCTTAGGAAAAATCCGGAAATTAAAAATAAATTTTAAAAAATAATCAGACCTTAGAAAAAAATCTATAAATTAAAAATAAATTTTAAAAAATCAGACCTTGGAGGGCAGCTAGGCAGCACAGTGGATAGAGCATCAGCCCTGAAGTCAGGAGGACCTGAGTTCAAATCCGGCCTCAGACCAAACACTTGACATTTACTAGCTGTGTGACTCTGGGCAAGTCACTTAACCCCAATTGCCTTTAAAAAAAAAATCATACCTTGGGGGAGAAAAAAAGAAGTCATGGCAAATGGGGAGATATGCTAGAATGGGCAAATATTGTTCCATTTTGCAAAAGGGTGAAAAGAGTGCATCCTGGAAACTAGAAACCTGTAAGTTTGAAAATTCTGTCAAACAATTTAAAAACTATATTTGTATTTAGAAAACTTGCAGACTTTTAGAACATCATGTAATGTACATTAGGTGCCAGTATGAGTTCATTGATCAACTTCTTTTCCTTTTAGGAAAGGGTCATGGGGTCAGTAGACGAGGGATGCCATAGACATGGTGTAACTTGATTTTAGCCAAGCAATGCCATGAAGTTATTGCTGTCCTCCTGGATGTCAGCTGGATAGTACCGTTAGATTTGCCGCTCATCTTTCTGTAGACAGGCAGCTACAATGCACTGGCCCAAACACGGAATCTGAAGTCAGTAACTGGAGATTAAATGCCAGGCCTGCTGCTTACATGGCCTTGGAGAAGCTAATCTTCACATGTAACAAAAGTTACATGTGAGGAGTTAGACTGAGGGCTGGCAAACTCTGGCCTTTGGGCCAAATGCATCTTGCCCTCTGATTTTGTACAGCTGGTGAACTAAGGATGGTTTTTACATTTTTAAGCTTTTTGTTTTATTTTAAGGGCAGCTAGGTGGCAAAGTGGATAGAGTGCCAGGCCTAGAGTCAGGAAGACATAGAAGGCATGCCCAGCAAATTAAACATTTTATTGATATCTTTTGTTTTATATTATCTTTATTTCTGTATATATCTTTTCCCTTCCCCTACCAGTGAATCTTGTAACCAAGAATTTTTTTTAAAGCAGCTTAGCAAAATTAACACATCAACCAAGTGTGCCAGTATGTACAATGTTCCCCCACTTCCCCCAAGAAGGGAAGTCATGCCCATCAAATTTTCAGATAAAAACAAATTTTCTTTCAGGGGCACAGACTGTGAAGGACTACTGATAGAATGGGTGTTGGAATCATGATTAGTAGGGCTGGAGATCTTGAACAAAACCACTAATACAAAGTCTATTGGAGGAAATGTAAAGTTCTGAATTTAGAACCAAAAAGTGAATCACTAAGGTTTGAGAAAGGGAGACCTGGAGGCAGTTAGGTAGCACAGCGGATAGAGCATCAGACCTGAGTTCAGGAAGACCTGAGTTCAAATTTGACCTTAGACACATAACACTTACTAGCTGTGTGACCCTGAGCAAGTCACTTAACCCCATTACCTAGCCCCCCCCAAAAAAAAAGAGAAAGGGAGACCTGGCATGGGGCCACTCATTCATTCCTCATCTCTGCCCCCTTCCCATCCCAGGCCTTGTTGCTGAACAAGGGTTGGTGGGTCAGCCAGCCTGATCTCAGGCTCACAGTCCACTTTGTGCCCAGAACTGGCTGAATGTGAAAAAGTTTAAGGGGTCTTAGTTGACCTCAAACTTAATATAATCAACATTATGATGCAGTCACTTAAAAAAAAAACTAACAGTCTTAGGCTCCGTGGATAAAAGTATGGTGTTCTGATCATAGATAATAATAATATCATCAACAATAATAATAATGATAATGCCAATAGTTAGCATTTCTATAGCACATACTATGTGCTAGGCACTGTGCTAAATACTTTATAAATGTTATCTTGTTTGATTCTCACAACAACCTTGCAAGGTAGGTGTTATTATTATCCCCATTTTATAGATGAGGAAACTGAGGCAAACAGGGTAAAGTGACTTGCCCAGGCTCACACAGCTGGTAAGTATCTGAGGTCAGAATTGAACTGAGGTCTTCCTGACTATAGACCCAGTGCTCTATCCTGGCGTTTTGCCATCTCATGTTACGTAATATAATAGTCTTTGGCACTCTCTTCTGATCAGACCACATTTTAAGGACTGTGGTTAGGTTTGGATTCCACCTTTTAGCAAGGACATTAAAAAATAAGCAAGAGTCCAGAGGAAGGTGGAAAAGGATCTAAAAATCATGTCTTGTGAAAAATGGTTGCTGGAACAAGGCATGTTTAGTCTAGAGGAAGGAAGGCTAAGAAAAGGAAGATATTACAGATCTTTCGAAATATTTGAAAGGGCTGTCTCATATAGAAGACAGCTTTGGGAAAGGCAGCATGGGGTAACACAGAAACAGATAGAATGCTGGACTTAAACCTGGATTCAAATCCTGCCTCAGACATTTATTAACAATGACCCTGGACAAGACTCAGTCTGGGTTTCCTCATCCCAGCATATGCTTTACAGTGTTGTGAAGATCAGAGAAGGAGATGTTGTTATCTGTTTTGAAAAGCTTTAAGTGCTATGTAAATGGCAGTTATTACTAATCCAGAATAGAGTTTTCCTGTTTGGGGAGGCCAAAATTAGATCCAACTGGTGAGAATTCAGGGGGTTGAATTTTGGCTCAATAAAACAGAGGGTGTTTCCAAAAAAAAAAAAAAGAAAGGAGTAAGGAAGAAGGATGGGTGGGAAATAGGGAATAAAATTGAGGGAAGGAAGACAAGGAAAAGAGGACAGAAAAAGAGAAAGGAAAGGAAACAAGGAAGGAAGGAAAGGATGGAGGAAAGAAAGAAAAACTTTACAGCAACTAGAATTATCCTGAAAGACAATGGGCTGCCACATGATATAGTAAACTTCCCATCTCTAGAGGCAGTTTTGGAAAGGCTAGACTCCATAGCTGTTGTTCAGGGACATGATAAAGGGGATTAATTCCTACACTGGGTGAGAATTGTGGGTTAGATGATTTCTAAGGTTCCTTTAGAGTTCTAGGATTCTCTGAATTTCTTTTAGCCAGTTCCTGACTCTTGGTTGTCACTGTTCTATTATCCGTGTGTGTGTGTGTGTGTGTGTGTGTGTGTGTGTGTGTGTGTGTGTGTGGTGGGGGAAGGACACTTCATTACTGGGCCAGCTGAGCTCAAGGGCCACTGTGCTTTATAGCAAGAGTCAACTTTGCTTTGCCTGTGTGAGATATATAGATATCGACTTTCAGTTTGATGGTTTCTGTCTCAGTAATGGATACACAGAGGTCATTTCACTCAGAGCTGGCCATTCTATTGATCTCTTTCTCTGCCTCTGATTTCTTCTGCTCCAGGCATGTCAAATGCTCATTGAATGAAGGAAGGAAGGAATTTCTGATGTCAGGGCATATTCTTGGCAGAGATTTCTTCAGTCTAACAGCAGGCACTCATTCAGTCCACCTCCCTGCCCCCTTCCCAGACCAGGCCTTGTTGCTGAACAAGGGTTAGTGGGTCAGCCAGCCTGATCTCAGACTCACAATCCCTTCTGTGCCCAGAATTGGCTGAATCGGATGTTAAGTGATAGATGACATAAGACTTTTGAGCTGTTCTTTTTTTATTCCTTCTCTTCTGCACAAATCAGGTTTTTATCATTCCCATATTGTTCCTAGGGATCTTTCCCAGGCCAGGATTGTGGGGACTGTGTAGGATGAGCATAAGGAAATCTTCAGTCATCATGAAGAGGAATTTTAACCTTGAAAACTTGGCCAAAAGATCTTTGGGGCCAGTCTCTTAGTACTTTCTCTTTGCTCACTTCTCTCTCATTTCTCATTCCCTCTTCCCCACCCTATTCCCACAACTCTCATGGCTCCTTTTCCATGGAAGAAACAGGAAAGAAAGTCTGAGTTTAGCTTGGTGTATTTTAGAGGGAGTAGAACCACTTCCTGTTCTCTGGGGGAAAGCCAGACCCCTGGAGATGTTTTAGCTTGCTTATTAGGAGCAAATGAAAGCCATGTAGTGTTTCCTTCTAATCTCTTCCTGTCCTCCTTCTCCATACTTGCTGGTAGTGAGGATTTGGGTCACACTCATTGTTCAGTTTGAGTTGATTTTCTTTGTTATCGCTTTTGTTGTCAGTAATCAATCAATCATTCTCATCTTTCCCTTCCTCTTTTACCCTATCCCCAGGAATTAGATACAGTAAAGGGGTAATGAGGGAGAGGTTGGGAGGGGTAGGATGGTGCAGTGGTTAGTGTACCTGGCCTAGAATCAGGAAGATTCATCTTCCTGAGTTCAAATCTGGCCTCAGATACTAGCTGTGTGACCCTGGCAAGTTGTTTAATCCTGTTTGCCTCAGTTTCCTCATTTGTAAAAATGAGCTGGAGAAGGAAATGGCAGATCATTCTAGTATCTTTGCCAAGAAAACTCCACATGGGGTCATAAGGAGTCTGACATGACTAAAAAATAACTAAACAACAACAAAAACACACCAATTCACTCTGCCTTTCCATTCTATTTTTATTTTATTTTATGGATAGTCTTGTTTTTACATCTTCATTTCCAAATATATTGTCTTCTCTTCCCTAACCAGAGGACCATCCCTTGTAACAACTAAGAAAGAAGACATAGAAGGAATAAAAAGAAGACAGTCTGGCAAAACTAACCAACCTATCAATTGGGTTTCCCCAGCCTTTTCAGTATTCCACACCCATAGTCCCTTATCTCTCCATTGAAGGGAGGGAAGTGTATTTTCTCACCTCTTCCTTGGGGACAAGCTTGGTCTTTATAATTACATGTAATTGTGGTCTGTATCGTTCCTGTATTATTCCAAGGGATCTTTCCCAAGCTCAAGGCTGTGAGGACTGTGTCTTTGTTGTTCTTTTCATTTATATTATTATAGTCATTGTGTATATTGTTTTCCTGGTTCAGCTTACTTCACTCTGAATTGGTTCATATAAGCCTTCCCATGCATCTCTGAATTCTTTTCCTTTCCCACCACCCTTCACTTCAACTCCCACCTCTCACCCCCTATATATACATTAGACACTAGTGACTAATCTTCTGTGAACTCTAAGAACTATGTAGGTAGTGTGTTTAACAGAAAGGGCATTAGATTTGTGGTCAGTGGTCCTATGTTAAAATCCCAACTATGCCACAGACAACTCATGTGACCTGGCCTCAGTTTCCTCATATGTAAAAAGGAGAGAGTAGGACTAGGTGACCTCTATCTATGATGCACAAATCTTCTCTTTTCTCCTTCTGCCTCAACAGACTCTTAGGATCATAGATTTAGAGCCAGAAGGACTTTAGAAGACCCACTTCTTTGTTTTACAGAGGAGGAAACTGAGGCCCAGAGAGGTTAAGTAATGTGCCCGAGGTCACCCAGGTAACAAGCGGCACAACCAGGTCCTCTAACTCCAGCTCCTTCACTTTGCCCTCCAGCACTGTTGCCTCCAGGATTCCAGTCTGCGCTCCCACCAGGGACATGTAGCTAGAGGAGGCTTTCTCTAGGCCAAAGGCAGGGTCCAGTTTTGGAGTTCTCCCTTGAAGTAGAGCCTAGATTCCCCCAGTGTAGGCTACTTCACTGGGTCCAGAATTTTCCCCTTTGGGGAAGGGTTGTTTGCCCCTGAACATTCTCACTCCCTTCTGTTCTCCTGCCAGGCAAGTCACCAAGTCAGAGGGCATGACTCTAGCTAGCAAGTTTGGATGTCTGTTCTACGAGGTCTCTGCCTGCCTGGATTTCGAAGCCGTGCAGCATGTGTTCCACGAAGCCATCCGGGAGGTACGGAGGGAGCAGGAGAGGAACGCACCCACCCGGCCTCTCTTCATCTCTGAGGAAAGGTCCATTTTCCATCAGGCCCCTCTCACTGCCAAGCACGGCCTGCCTAGCTGCACCTTCAACACCCTCTCTACCGTCAACTACAAGGAGATGCCTACTGTGGCCCAGGCCAAGCTGGTGACTGTCAAGTCATCTCGGGCCCAGAGCAAGCGCAAGGCTCCCACCTTGACCCTACTAAAAGGCTTCAAGATCTTCTGAGACCCTTGCCATCCACCCCCACCACAGGGGGCAATTATATGAGAGGCAAAAGGGGGCAGTATGAGTGGGAGTAATCCTAGGGACAACTAATAGAACTGTGACCATCAGTTCAGACTGTCAGAATTAAGGGACTGAGCCTTTCGGGGCAGACTCTCCCCCTGATTGAGTGGTTCCCACTCCCAGCCCTTCCCCCCCAATTTACTTCTGGAAGTAGAGTTAGTTCAACTTGACTGGGGCAGCTCCTCACAAAGCAGTTCACAACCCCCTTGTCTGGAGGGCAGACTCTGTGTGTGTGTGTGTGTGTGTGTGTGTGTGTGTGTGTGTGTGTGTGTGTGTGATATTTTGATCCTGCAATCCATGAAATTCCAGTTTCCAAGGCAACTTAAGCAGCTGTGACCTTGGAGGATAACAGCTGTGGGCTGTGGAAAGCAAAGGCAGAGTCTGAGGCCGGTCTCACAAACAAGCCGAGTGAAACTTGAGGAATCTCTGCCTTTGAGGTCGAGTTCAAAGGCTCTGTACCTCTTCCCCACCCTCTACCCCCACCCCACTTCCTGCCTCCCTCCCTAACTTCAGGAGTTACAGTGGCCAGATGTGGTCCCTGAAATACAACCAGAAGCTCAGCTGTTTGCTGCAAAGATTCTGACTCTCTACCTATGGGGGAAAACTTTGAGCTTTGAGCGACCCCTGGTGGAAGGCAAGAGAAGAGCAACTGTTGAGTTTGGCCCACCATATGGAGAGCGTTGGTTTGTGGAACAGTGAGCCGGGGGCATACCACTGAGCATTCATGGTCCATACCCATGAAGGACCAGAGGCGAAACAGTATGGTGCCTGGCACACGATAGGAGCGTGATTGAAACACAGAGTGTGCCCCTCCGTTTTGGGTTAAAATAGACCTTCCAAAGATGACTTGAAGAGAAAACAAGAAAGCTCAAAGAGAAATGCAGTCTGAAAAGTGTGTGGGGAAAAAGGAAGTGCCCTCATTTATTCTTAGGTGACAGTGGAGAGTTTACAGGCTGATTGTATGTGGGTATACAAAGTGCTGTTTGGGTTCTTTGTTTGCTTATTTGCTTGTTTTTTTAGCATCCATTTCCACCTCATTCTTTTCCATCTTTGAGTCACTCTCCAGACCCCATATGGGATCTTCCAATTGCCTTACTCAGGACAGAGTCTCCTACCGACGCCATACTAGCAAAAAAAAAAAAAAGCCTTAAGGGAAAGAACACCCAGCACTAAAAGTGATACGTTGTTGACCCAGACAGCAAACACCATACAAAGTACCATTACCTAAACTGGTTTGGATTTAGAAATGCATTCTACCAAATCACAGCTATGCTTAGGCAGAACTCTGATCTTTAAAACATTTTTTTTTGCCAATAAAATTTATTTTTCCATAAGTTATTTGGCCCTGCCTCTATAGCTTAAGGACAATATGAAAAAGACTCATCGGGAATGCATGTCCTCGGGGTCAGGCCACTTTTGGCTATGCCTCTCTGTACATACAGTTCATTGCAGTTTTGTTCACATCTGTGTGCATTTAACCATTTGAATACATATGCAAGTTTTGTTGAACACTTCTGGAAACATTTTAATAAAGAATTCTTAAAGAAAAATGACAGCATTTTAATTTGTGATTTATCCTTTAGTTTTACTTAAGTACAAAATATTTGGCCCATAGCTACTGTTTACTTTATGTCTTTGACTAACGTGACATCTATGGCAGAACTTTGCTTTAACCCACCAAGCAGGCACCTGGTGTTTAAAATACTTCCCAGGTTTTCATGTTTCAGTTCTCCATAATCTCACTTCTTCTGATGACTCTGGGGAAATAACTGTAGCAGCTGTTTCTTTCAATTCAGTCATTTCCTGTTCTGGGTTTTGGTTTTGGGAGAACAATTTTTCCTTTAAAATATCCAAGCTGTTATCATCCTTCTGTGACACAGAGCCCTCCTTGTTGGTCACAATCTCAAAAGAGGATTTGGTTTCCACTGCTTGTTTATCCTGGGAATTCATCTTCCGATTTCTAAGGGGAAAAAAGAAATGACAAGTAACCAAGACTGAATACTCATCCCCTGACTCCAGACACTGAAGTTAGGGGATGTTCAAGTCATCAGCTCAGAGGGCTTGGTGTCTGATGTATGTAGAAATTCCAGATTGGATGTGTCTGATAAGTGGCCTCAAATATAAACTGAACATTTTGTCTTTCAGCAGATAACAGGTGGGATATATAGAACCATCAGTGGTGGAACAAGAGATTCTTCCTTTGAAAGGTCTCTCACCAGTTCCTTCCTTTCCATACTTAATGCCAATACTGTAGACCAGGCCCTTATTATTTATCCAGATTATTATGAGTCCCTCCTCCCTTCAATGTCCTACAAACCATATACAGCCAAGCTAATCTTACTAAAATCTCATTTTACCCACATTGGTCCCCTGCTCAAAAACCTTTAATGGCTCCCCATTGCCAACAGGGGCAGCTAGGCAGTGTAGTGGATACAGAGGTTCCCAAAGTGGGTGATACTCCCCCCCAGTGGGGGGAGCACTGAACCAATGGGGGGAAGGTAGTAGCCTCTGGTGGAGTTGGGGGGTGTTGAATAAAAATAAGGGGGCAGTGGAAGCATAAGGAAAGAAGAGAAGAAAATTTTGAAAAACATTTGTACATGTTTCATCTGTTGTGTAATAGAGTTAAAATCATAGTGATTACATTATTTTCCAAATAAACACACAAAATGCAAGTTATAACTGATCAGTGGTCAAGTCTGCTGACAGTTCTTAACAAGCAAGTATTGGTTGCCCATTATCAGGAAGTCCAGCATGCACTGGCAGAAATATGTGCGTGAAATGACTTGTTTTACAATACAATATTATACAGCTGTATGATGCAATATTAAATCATCAAAATTTCAATGCCAGAAAAAAACAAAAATTTCAACAAATTATTAAATTTAAGATGCATCATTTAAAAACATATAGTTTTTTGAAATGATGCAAATTCAAAAAAAAATTGTTAAAGGATTAAAGAAAGTAGATTTCCAGGGGGCCAGGGGGCCAGTAGGCCAAATAAGTTTGGGAACCTCTGGGATAGAGTATTAGACTTGAGTCAAGAGGACCCGAGTTTGAATCCTCCCTCTGACACTTATCTCTTCTCCTCTCCCCCTCACCCCCATAGCCTGACATTCTTCTTGTCACAATCTGGAACCAGCTTACCTCTCTAGTCATCTGCTACTAATTGCTATACAAATACTATACTATAAACTAGCTTACTAATTATTCCTCAACATACCTCTAAGAAGATAGCAAGATTTTTGTGGTGGTAAGAAAATGTATTTATGTGACGCAGTGGATACAGTCCTGGGCCTGGAGTCAGGAAGACCTGAGTTCAAATCCTGCCTCAGACACTAAGCTGTTTGACCTTGGGCAAGTCACTTAACCTCTGTCTGCCTCAGTGTCCTCAACCGTAAAATGAAGAAATAATAGCACCTACCACCCAGGCTTATCGTGAAGATCAAATAAGATAACATTTGTAAAGGGCTTAGCACTATGCCTGACACATAGTAGGTGTTGTATAAATGCTTATTGGCCTTGCCTATTCCATTATTGGGTTTGCTGGGGATAGATCTGTATAATAAAGGTAGGAATGTAGGCCAGGTGGTTAGAAAATAATAACCTTGCCTCTTCAGTTTACCTTTTGTTTTGGCTTAAATTCATTTTCCAACTAAGCCAAAGAGGATTTGGGGAATGTCTGATCCTAAATTAGATAATTGTCTGGACCAGAAGTCTACAATCTCCACCCAGACATAGAGGTTAAAAAGAAAAGACTTCATATTAAGACTTAGCTACTTTGATCAATATAATGATCCACTACAGTTCCAAAGCACTTATAATGAAAAATGCTATCCCCTTCCAGAGGGAGAACGGAAACTCAGTGCAGACTGAAGCATACTTTTTTCATTTTTTTTTCTTTTTGGCCACATGGTCAATGTGGAAATATGTTTTGTATGACTTCACATGAATAGTGTTTATCCTATTTCTTGCATTTTCAGTGGGTGGGGGAAGAGTGGGAGGGAGAGAATTTGGAACTGAAAATAAAATGAAATAAACAAAAAGAAGGAAAGAAGGAAGGAAGGAAGGAAGGAAGGAAGGAAGGAAGGAAGGAAGGAAGGAAGGAAGGAAGGAAGGAAGGAAGGAAGGAAAGAAAGGAAGAAAGAAAAAAAGGAGGAAAGAAAGAAAGAAAGAAAAAAAGGAGGAAAGAAAGAAAGAAAAAGGGAAAGAAAGAACTTTGGTTAGATTTTGTTAGATGGGTGTGATGCCTATAAGTAAATAATCTTCAACCTGCCCTTATCAGGGAGAAGTCCTTGCCATCATACATACCCTAAAGGATTGGAGCTAAGATGACAGTTAAGTAGTCCTGAAGAGATGAAGCCCAGAAGCAGGAAGCAATGCCCAGCAGTCTCTAGTTGTGCCTACAAACCATCACGAGACCATGGAGCAATGCCCAGCTGGGACTATAGGCCCAGCATTCACCACAAGATTGATCCCTTTGGCCTTAACTTCTGTCTGCCTGTTTCCTCAACTATAAAATGGGGATAATAATAGTATTTGCCTCCCAGGGCTGTTGATGAAGATAAAATAAGATAACATTTGTAAAGCACTTTGCAAACCTCACAATGCTATATAAATACTAGTTGCTGTTGTTGTTAGTTTTCTGGGAGAAGAATGGGGATCAAGTATCGACCTGATTGAGCAATCCATAACAACCCTAGAAACCAATTAACAGACCACCCAACAAGAATCTAGACTACAACCCCAAGGGGCAGAGCCAAAGGGACAAGTTCCAACAGCTTCCACAGAGCCTGAGATAGGCCTGTGGAGCTGTTGCTGATATCTTTTTTTTTTTTTGTAATTTTAGGCAATTGGGGTTTAGTGACTTGCCCAGGGTCATACAGCTAGTAAGTGTCAAGTGTTTGATGTGAGGCTGGATTTGAACTCAGGTCCTCCTGACTTCAGGGCTGGTGCTCTATCCACTGTGCTACCTAGCTGCCCCTGTTGCTGATATCCTAGAGTGTCCATTGGTATCTTTAGATGGTGCAAAGTGGGGTGAGCATTTGATAGACAGCACCTCCCCCAGTAGGCACAGCCTAATATTTATTCAGCAAATAGGTATTGAGTTTCTATTGCTTATAAGATGCTGTGGGGAATACAAGAGAAGTGTTTAATATAGAATGAAAGATTAGGCACATATACAAATAACAATGACACAAAGCAGAAAGTGAAAGAATAGTAAGAGAAGTTCAAAAAGTTCTATGGAGGTTCAAAAACAGGAGTGGTGTAACAATAATATGGCAGTGTTATGATGACTAACTATCAATGATAGAATTTAATAAGCCATGTCCCATTCATAAGTAAATGTTTAATAAGTGCTCATTGGATTGGATGATCATCGATTGATGACTTTGTGGCAAAATTATTTTGAGTAGTTATTAATAATGTTCATTAATAATAACTGATATTTAAGTAGTCCTTGACATTTCCCAAAGCACGTGACATTATTATTTCATCCTCACAACAATAACCACAGTTACTGGCCCCATTTTACAGATCCAGAATTTGCCTATAGTTATATAACTACTAAGTTCCAGAGTTGAGATTTTGAATCCAGCTCTCTTGTGTTTGTTTCCATGTCTAGGATTCTTCTTTTAACACACCACACTGCTTCTAAATATCATCTATTGATGAGTTTGTGACAGATGATCAGCTCTTTAGGGAAAAGGATCCTGGCTCGCTCATCTTATCTTTTCATTCTGCCTCCTCCACCCCCATCATTGACAAATTACCTTTTACATACTCAGCTCTCAAAACATACCTTTTGAATGAGTGAGTTGGTTACTATATAACCTTACCATGATATCACCTGTCATTAAACTCTAGAGGTTGTTAATGAAGCTGTGGAATGCTATGATTTTAAAAATTTTCCAGAAGTCTTCACTGAATTCTATTTTGAACAAGTAATAGTGAGTATAATCTTGAGAATGTTCTGGGTTTTTTTCTTTAGTCTTTTCTTCTCTCTCTAATCTCACAGGGCTGTAGGGGTTGTAACTAACGGCAATTTGGGTGGCAGCGTTTCATTTATCATAGGCTGGACCCTGAGAGGTCCTTGAGGGTAACATATTCCCAGTTCTAAATTATGGGCAGAAGCCAACGGAGGTCAAGCAGGGTCCAGAATAAGATTTTCCCAGGAAAAGTCACCTTATTCCTAGAACTATATTATTCAAAAATGGCCAGAGAGCTTAAATAAATCACTTTCTAACCTTCTTGCCATGATATTTCTACTTAGAAGGAAGACATTCAGGACAAATACCACAGATGCAAGGGCGAGGACAGCAATATTCCATGGTGTTGCTGTAGAAAGAAAAGATACAAACAAACATTGGCTACTCAATCTTTTAGAAGGATCTGGTGTTTGTAATCCAATACAACAATGCTTCGTGTTTGTCTGTCAGTCAACCACACTCCTATCCTCACTACTGGGCACTGGGCAGGGATGCTAAGGAAGAAATAAACCATCTCCAGTCTCAGGGAGCTCCTAGCCTGACAGGAAAAACAAATCCCTGTCCAGAGTTTGAACCAGTCTAGGCAGCTGGGGCTTTGTCTCAGTGCTGACATTGATGGGATAGAGTAAGGGAGGGAAGAGATATTGCCTCCTCCTTATTCTTTCTTGATTTCTAACTCACCTATTCCTTCTATATCCAAGTACTCACTAAAACCTAGTTTTCCCCTGGAAACAAGTTTCTTGGCATTTTTTCCCCAGGCTGGTTGCTTTTTCTCTCTCCTACTTTTATATAGGGTCAGGAGAGGCAAATGGAATACTCCCTGCTCCCCATCACTCAGCAATCTCACATCTTTTAAAGTTCGTTCTGCCCTGTCCACATACATGTGGTTGTCACCTAAGGACCACCATCCTCCTTGATGGCTCCACTACCTGGTTTCTCTGCCTCACTCTTTTTCCAGCTTTGTGTTCCTCAACCTCCTCACCTCCTAAGACCTAAGTCTATCTCAACTAAGCACAGGAGGGCTCTAACTTACATTGCTCCTGTTCCCAATTGAATGTGCCCCAACTTCCAGAATTCCTACCTATGGCCCTATTCCTGTCCTAAGGAACTCATCTTGTTTCTAAGGATGTCAGAGTTTTATGGAAACGAATGGGTTTATTTTTAAAAGTCCCTTAAAGAGAGAGGCAGGCGGTATTGTTCCCATTAATAGGTTGGAAAACGGAGCCCTTCCCTGTGGTGACAGAATCATTATTAGAAACTCATTCCCTTTGGTTTCTGCCCTCAGAGGAAATCATGAGGATGTGTTTTCATTGTCTTTATTTAATTTTTATTTATCCATGTTTGGGGAAGAGATAGGAGCTCAAATAAAACAAAAGGGTACATTTCCTATTTGGCATTATGTGGTTATTCTTACAGCAGATTTATATTTCTGATTACGTTCTTCTGAGGCTAATGGTTTTTGAAATTCAATCTCGTTTTATTTCAGTTCCAAATTCTCTCATTCCCACCTACCCTTCCCTCATCAATTGAGAAATCAAGAGAAACAAAACCCATTCTAAATGTGCATGTATGTATCAAGCAAAGCAAATTCCTATATTGGCCATGTCCTATAGATCTATAATATATACACACGTATGCATCCATGTACATCCATATATATGCAAACATATACACATACCTGTGTGTATGTGCATATATGTGTACTGTTTTATATGTATGTATATATATACACATACATATATGTGTATGCACACTCAGTTTGTACTCTGAATCTAATACTTCTCTGATGGTAAATAGCATGTTTCATCATAAATTGAAGGTAACAATTTTTAAATGTTATTCTCTGAGCACACAATAGCATGTGGTTTTCCAATCACTATTTTGTGTACTTCAGAGTATCAGGAAGACCTCACTGGTGAATTTTGAAAAGTTGAGCTTATCCCAGTGGGGTTCCTCTCTGGTTGTCACTAATGCCTCTCTCCCCACGGGAGCCTTTTCTCTCTTCCATGGACATTCCTCTCCTCTTTTTCTTTCTCCCACACTGAAATCCATTTGAATCCTGGTAGTTTGCAATTCCTTATATGTATAGCCCCAGTAAGATAGGCTTCCTACCTTATAGTGCTTTGATGTATGCACCTATCTATTTAATTTTCTTCTTATATTGTTATTAATAATATACTAATATAACAATTATTATATAATGATGCACCTATCTATTAATTTTCATCAGTGGGCGTGGGAATCTCTGTCCCTACCAGGCTTACCATAGGGCATTTAAGAAATTGACATATATATACTATGAATTTTTAAAATGCTTCTCAGGCAAACATTGTACATAGGCAATACTGTACAATGACCAACTGAATGACTTAGCTATTCTCAGCAATACAATGATCCAAGACAATTCCAAAGGACTCATGATGAAAAATACTATCCATATCCAAAGGAAGAACTGGAATCGAAAGGCAGATTGAAGAATACTATTTTTCACTTTTTTCATGTTTTTTTTTAGTCTGTTTCTTCCTTCACACTATGACTAATATGAAAATGTTTTACACAATTGCACATACATAACCTATATCAAATTGCTTACTGTCTTAGGGATGGGGGAGATAAGAGAGGGAGGGAAAAAATTTGGAACTCAAAAATTTTTAAAAATGAATGTTAAAAATTGTTTTTAGGGGCAGCTAGGTGGCGTGGTGGATAGAGCACTGGCCCTGAAGTCAGGAGGACCTGGGTTCAAATCTGGCCTCAGACCAAACACTTGACACTTACTGGCTGTGTGACCCTGAGCAAGTCACTTAACCCCTATTGCCTAAAAAAAAATTGTTTTTACATGTAATTGGGAAAAAATAAATGCTACTTTAAAAAAACAAACAAACATGGTTCTTATAACAAGAGGAAGGTAACTGAGAAGACATACTTTCATGTTTCTGTTGCCTAAATAAAACCCTCACTCATTCACTGGATGATTAGCTGAAAAGATACCTCTAGCAGGGGTTCTTAACCTTTTCTGTCCCGAACACTTTGATACCATGGTGAAGCTTATGGCCCCCTTCTCAGAATACTGGTTGTAAATGCATAAAATAGATAGAATTATAAAGGCAACCAGTTATATTAAAATACAGTCATCAAAATATTTTTTTAAAAAACAAGTTCCCTGGACCTCAAGGTTAAGAACACCTGCTCTAGGGAACTCTTTATTAAATATTGTGACTACCTTATCTTAAAGCGTGGGTTCCTGGTAAAATGCCTGTTGCTCTAGGAGGGATCATACTTCAGCTTATATCAATGACTACTTCATTAGTAAGAGGGAGCCTTAAATCCTTTCCTCACAGCAGATTTTGTTAAGAGGTCGAGGGGAGAGAATATGAAGACATTGAGGGAGGATCGGCGTCACCGTGAAGAAGTTAGGGGGAATGCTAAGGGGCAGAATGGAGAGGGCACGAATTGCTCTGGGGATTTTATCTGGCTGTCCTCCATGCCTGGAGTACTCTCTCTCCTGGGCTCTGAGTGCAGACCTTCCTGGCTTCCTTTAAGTCCCAACTGAAATCCAACCTTCTATAGGAAGCCTCTTCCACCCCTCATAATTCTATTACCTTCCTTCTGTTAATTATTTCCTATTTATCCTATATATAGCTTGCTTTGCATATATTTGTTTGCGTGTTATCTCCCCTATTAGATTGTAAACTCCTTGAGGGCAGGAACTGTGTTTTTGTTTTTGTGTTTTTATCCCCAGACTGGCACATTTATTGTTGTTGTTCAGTCATTCTCTCGTGTCTGACTCTTCATGATCCTATTTGGGGTTTTCCTGGCAAAGATACTGGAGTGGTTTGCTATTTCCTTCTCCAGTGTGTCCCCATTTTACAGATGAGGAACTGAGGTAAGTAGGAATTTAATGACTTGCCCAGAGTCACACAGCTAGTAAGTGTCTGAGGCTGGATTTGAACTTACATCTTTCTGACTCCAAACCTGGTATTCTATCGACTGCATCACCTAGCTGCCCCAGCCTAGCACACAGTAGGTGCTTAATAAATGTTTACTGACTTATTGATTGGGAGATAGGTTCGGATGCTGCTGAAGGTTTGTTTTGCCTACTTCACAGTTTTTCCCAGGGCTGCTTCGGCTTGCTGGTACAAGAGACAGCCATCTTGGGTCTAAAAATGAGCCCAATACGATCCATGAAATGGAAAATCTTAAAGGAGACTATGGCAAGTTGATGCAGTTAGTAAATGTTCATTCACTAAGCACCATCCGGGCCCAGTGAAAAACAAAGTTAGGTTTTTCCCCAGCCTCTGGATTGTCATGGAAATTTGACCTAATCAGTCCCTGAAATCTCCCCTTCTGAATCGAAGCGGAGAACTCACAGTCCTCTGTCCGGTAAAACCACAGCATTTCCTGCAGCTCTTCTTCTGACCAGCCTGGCTCAGACCGGGCCCCGAACGGCTCACTGCTACTGTTCATGTTGGTAAGTCCTGATGTTGTTCCTTCACAGACCCGCTCCGGCTTCCCCGTGCTCCAATGAGCCACACTAGGACTAAAGCGCTGAAGGTCTGCCTAGAAGAGGCTGAGGCTGCTAGAGAGAGAGAACAGCTTGTCGAGTTGGCTCCCAAAGTCTTCCCACTCTTCCATCTAAATATCGCAGGACTCAGGCATCTGGTGTCCAGGAACAGAAACCTGGGGAGGAAATAAGAACGAGAGAGAGGTAGGTCTCACCTTGAATTTGACTATTAAAACTCGTTCATGCTTTGAGCCTGATTTCTTTTCCAGCTCCTGCTTCCTCACAGGACTCTATAGGAACCAGGTTTAATATAAACGGCTCTAAAATAAATCTTAGCGGAAGGATTCCAGAGCAAACCTGGCCCCAGAATAGACTGTGTGATCAGCAAAAGTACATATTTAGCTTTCCAGGTATCTAGAGCTAAATCTAAATGCCGGTTTGGGAGTAGCAGCCAGTTTAACTGACATCTGTTCCCTGTATAAAGGAAGGTATTCAATTCAATTAGCTAGGGGGAGTAGTGCTGGAGCTGGAGTCAGGAAGTCAGGAGTCAGAAAGATCTGAGTCTGAATGCTGTCTCAGACACTTAGTAACTATGCGGCCATGGGCAAGTCACCTAACCCACAGCTTCTTAAACTTTTTCCACTCGTGACCGCTTCTGCCTCAGTTTCTTCATCTGTAAAATGGGGATATTAATGCTTTACAGGGTTAGTATTAGGGTCAAACGAGATAATATTCATAAAATACTTTGCAAACCTTAAAGAGCTAGATAAATGCTAGCTATTGAGGGACCAGTAGTGCTAAGCACTGGGATGTGCATATATAATAAGGTACCTTAAGGAATGAAAATGCTATAACAGCTAGGGAAAATTTCGTGGAGGTGATTCCTGATCTGAACCCCAAAGGCAGGAGAATTTATGATGGGAAAGTAACGGCTACGACTGGACCTGTGCCTTTGCTGCAACTCCCAGGGAAGAAATTTCACTTACCAAAGCAGATCACCACATTTCTGGTAACTTCTAACCTTAGAGCTGCCTTGGGGCATGGAAAGAGGAAGCGACTTGCCCTAGGGTCACACTCCCAGCCAGTGTCAGAGGTGGGACCTGAGGTGAAACTGGGTCTTCTTGACACAGAAAATAATAATAATAATAATAAAAAGTAACTAAGGTGGGGGGCACACAGCTAGATGGCCCAGTGGATAGAGTACCAACCCTGGATTCAGGAAGACCTGAGTTCAAATGTGACCTCAGACACTTGACACGTACTAGCTATGTGACCCTGGCGAAATAATTTCACCCCATTGCCTTGCCAAAAAGAAAAAAAAAAGTAACTAAGACACATTTGGTTGAGTGGGAAGGGAATTAGTTACTATTCTAGCTCAGAGATAGATGTTATTCAGATGTACCATTTGATAGCTTCCTGTTTTTAACAACTTATTTTTGCTGAGTGCTCAATTGTTTCTCCATAGTTGAAGGTGGCACAGAGGTGGATAGAGCACTAGGCCTAGAGTTAGAAAGACCTGAGTTCAAATCTAGCCCTAGACACTTACTAGCTGTGTGACCCTGGGCAAGTCCCTTAACCCTGTTTGTTAGCCTCACTTTCCTCATCTGTAAAATGAGTTGGAGAAGGAAATGGCAAACCACTCCAGTATCTTTGCCAAGAAAACACCAAATGAGGTCACAGAGAGCTGGGCATGAATGAAAACGACATCTGAAGGCTTGTGCTGTCAACATGTAAATTAAAACACTTTAAGTTGTACAATCTTAAAAAGCCATTTAAAGTAAAATTTTTGTACTCTCTAAATAGAATGATTGACAGGGCATATGAGGTTCTAAATCTCATCTCTCTGAGCCTCAGCATCCTCATCTGTAAAACGGAAAGACTGCACTAAACCTTTAAGGTCCTTCTCAACTTAAAAAAATTTAGGATTCTATGATCCCGTTCACAGATTGGAATTTACATTTAGCTTACTTACCATTGCAGGCCCTTTCCAAGATGCCCTTTTGATGAAGCCCAGAAGCAGACAAGGGCTCAGCAAATAGATGAACCCATTGCCCAGGGATATTTGAAAGCACATTTGCTGTATCTACCTGGAACCAGCAGGTGTCTTTGTGGAGGGCAGAGTCTGCCGAAGAGGACTTTCCCTTTTCCCACTCGAAAGGAGTCAGGCTGAATCTCCCTGACCTTGCCTATCTCCACTCAAGGGGTCAGCTTTTCTAGTAACACCGTCGCCTCCTCCCTTTCCTCCCTCCAATCCCACTGAGTAGGAATTCTTGTCTCAGGCACCCACATTCTTCGACATACTTTGTCACCTTGGCCCAAGAGCTCTGCCACTATCTAGTTTAAACTCTGCCTTTAAAGAAATTTATACAACTTCTAAATATACCAAATTATAGTTCCTGAGCCCATAAGTCAGATGAAATGTCCAGCTGATTGAACTGAAGACTTTTCCTTTGTTCTAATTAGTTTTTGTGTGGTCACATAGCCATTACCATCCTCCCCCTCCCCCATTTTCTCTCTCTCTCTCTCTCTCTCTCTTGCTCTCTCTCTCTTTCTCTCTCTCTCTGTATTTGTTGTTGTTCCATCATTTTTCAGTTGTGCCCAGCTCTTCATGACCCTGTTTGGGGTTTTCTTAGCAGAGATACTGGAATGTTTTGCCATTTCCTTCTCCAGCTCACTTTACAGATGAGGAAACTGAGGCAAACAGGGTTAAGGGACTTGCCCAGGGCCACACAGGTAGTAATTGTCTGAGGCCAAATTTGAACTCAGGAAAATGAGTCTTCCTGATTCCAGGCCTGGCATACTAGCCACTGCACCTCCCAGCTGCCCCCTCTTTGTATTTAAAGATAATTAAGAATGGTTGTATATTTAAAAGGAAAGCCAGCTTTAAAGTACAAATGAATCAGGGAGAAACAGCTTACCAAAAGGAAACAGATTTAGGATTTAAAACAGCCTCCCTTTCTTAGAGCAAGGGAAGGAGAAAAAGGAGATGATTTATCAGTTTAGGTTTCCAAGGGAAAGACCAGTTCTGTCATTCCTCAGTGGGGTTCCCATTCACTAAGTGCAGTTCTGAGCCAAAACATCCAATCACTCAATACTTATCACAGTCCCCGTTCAAAGTGTCCTTCATCCGCCACCACTCAGCTGCCCCAGCTGCTCCCCCATCTGTTACAGACACTCCAACTTCTCCAGTCAGCAGAACCCCAGCCAGTCCAGTTCAAACCGAATGATTCAATGCCCATCTCTTTGTGGGCTAGAAGACTGTACATTGAACTACATTTCCCAAAATCCTTAGCTAGGGCTTAGACTCTGGACCCAGTCACAGGACAACCAGTCTTAACCCTAGTGACATAATCTATTTTAAAGTGTAACAGTCTTCCACTTCACTTCTTACTCATTCCCATTTAGAAACATAATTGAGAGATGACCACATTTATCAATATTGATCTAGCCCGAACCGAAACAACTCAACTGTAAGGGAATGATCTATATGAAACTAGTGACTCATTTATTTGTTGTGAGATCAGAGAAGATCCATGCCCAGCAGGTCAGAGCCCCAAGAAATGGAACTCACCAAAAAGAGGGTTCATTATTCCCTGTTGATGGGGCAATACCAGTGTTTCTGCTTTCTCTCTTTGGGGAAAGGGAAAAAAGAGTGGGGACTGGAGACCTTTTCTTCACATCTAGGAGGGCAGTTTCTTCTGGCCATAGCAGACAAATAATCCATCTAACTAGGCTGGATTGAGGCAGTCACTCTGACTCTGAGGTCCACAGTATACTTCAGATCTAATTATGCTTCACTTGCTCTCCCATTTCACAAAAAAAAAATTCACATCTACCTATTTGACACCAAAACACACTGGTAAGAGAAAAAAAAAGTCAAATCTACTGTTTCACTCAGACTGACTATGTTTTTTCTTAACCAACCAATCAACAAGAGCCATAGCTAACAATTTTGGCACCTGGGGAAAGAAAGCAAAACAAAATATTCTCTGAAATCTCCTTTGTAATTCATAATATGAAAACAGTACAAGAGGGAATTAAGATAAATGCAATTGGGTGGGAAGGGAAATCAGTGACTATAGTGACTCACAGATAGGGGTAAATAATGAATACCATCTGGTGGCTACTTAGTTTAATTATTCTTGCTAAGTAGATGCTGTGGTCAGTTTTTTCTATGTTGCTGAAGGTGTGCATGTGCTATCAATATATAAATGTGACAGATTTTTAAATTGCATAACATTTTAGTATAATTTTAAAAAATGTTTTACAGCCTCTAAATGTCTATACTCTGTGTCAAAGCACCTCTTACCAAAGTATGGCACTGAAATCAATCAAATAGTTAACTTAATCAAGGAGATGGATCCTTGGGACTGTGTAGACCCAGTCTACATATGCTTTCTCTAGGAAGTGTCCTCCCTGCTTCCAACCTTTGTTCCTATCGCCTCATTCTTATTATAATCGCTAACTCTGAACACTCTCCCTGTGACTATACAGCATCTTGAAGTTTAAACAGAGGAACATAACTTTTCTTTACAAAGTTTCATATATATATATATATGTATATACACATATATATATAAAATAGTTTCACCTCTGTCTCATGGAGCAGAAAATTATTCTATTTGCAAATTTACGTAAACTCAGGAAAGAAAAAAAACAAAGAAATTCTAATTCAATTCTATCTATTGAACTGAACATGACTGCAATTGTGGTTTGGTTAGAATCAATGGTCTGATCCTAAATCAATACATAGTCCTCTGTTTTTAGCACAAGCAAGAAAAGTGAAAATTGAATCCTTTCACCTTGTGCTGCAAAACTTAGTGTATAAAAGATAAGACAGAACATGAAACAGTAAGACATTTTTTGAAGATTTATCTCACTAATATCATGGGATATTAGTTTGTCTATCTCACCTCAGTCTTCATGGTACTTGTCATGATCTATGGTTAGAAATGGCAAATCTAGACAGCCCACTAAAAAGCAGAGACATCACCTTGCCAACAAAGGTCTGTATAGTCAAAGGTGTGGTTTTTCCAGTAGCAATGTATGCCTGTTGGACTATAAGGAAAGCTGAGTACCACAGAAGTGGTACTTTTGAATTGTGGTGCTGAAGAAGACTTTTGAGAGTCCTTTGGAAAGCAAGGAGATCCTTACTCAGTCCATACTTAAAGAAATTAATTCAAGCTATCCCCTGGAAGGTCAAATACTGAAGCTGAACCTTAAATACTTTGGCCACATAATGAGAAGACAAGACTCATTGGAAAAGACCTTGATGTTGGGAAAGACTAAAGGCCAAAGGAGGAGATGGCAGAGGATGAGATGGATAGATGAGATAACTCATGGAACATGAGCTTGGATGGACTTCCAGAGATAGTGGAAGATAGAAGGGTCTGCTGTGGTATGGTCAATGGGGACACAAACCGTTGGACATGACTGAACAACTGAACAACAACAAAATGGTTAGAAAACAACTACTACACACACCTAGACTGACAATATGGTTAAGCACACCTGAAATTTTAGGTGGAAAGGTAATATTTAGGGTACAGGATCAGGAAGAAGGCATCCCATCCCTGGTCCCCAAAACACCTTCTCCTTTTCGGCTTAGCTCTACAGGGAACTAAGTGATATATCATGGTAGGTGATTTGCTGTATGTCTGAAGGAGTCTGAGAACGAAGTCACTGCAATTCATAAAAACTACCCTTTTCCCAGACCAGCCTTTCCACCTTCTTTACTCCTGCCACTGCTCTCCTAGTAAACCAGACCAACATGGAAAATTTCTCCTTACTTCTAGCTGAGCAATGCTAGATCATCAGTACATTAAGGATTTGTGATTTTTCTGGGTAGGAGACAAGTCTGAGGCTCAGAGGACTTGGGTGACCTGTTCAGAGTCACACAGCTGGTTGGTGTCAGGCTCAGGATTTTCATTTCTGTCTCTCTGATGACAAATCTAGTGCTATATCTACCTGCCAAAAGTATCAAACAGGAGGCAAAGAGTCTCCTTCACACTCCAGGAATATGCCAAGCCAGATTAAAATGTAATTGGGAAATATTTAACAATAAAAATATAATAAAACATAAGTAATGTTAACATGTGGTTTTCTCAGTCTATATGTGGCCTGCAGGGATCCTTTTGTATGGTTTAGTGGCCGTATTTCTGGTTGACTTTGATACCACTGCGGCCTCTCACATGGCTGGATGTAGCTAAAAAGTAAAGTATTGCAATCAATCCATTTACACGCTCCTGAGTAGTAGTTGTTATTCAGTCATGTTTGACTCTTTGTGATCCTGTTTGAGGGTTTCTTGGCAGAGATACTGGAGTGGTTTGCCATTTCCTTCTCCAGTTGACTTTACAGATGAGGAAACTGAGGCAAACAGGGCTAAGTGACTTGCCCAGGGTCACACAGCTTGAGACCAGATTTGAATTCAGGAAGATGAGTCTTCCTGACTCCAGGCCTGGCAATCCATTCAGTGTGCCACCTAGTTGCCCTTCTTCTGAGCAGAAGACATTATTATTCCTGGATTTTAAAAGTATTTTGAGAATACACTTATATATGATAATTCTTTAATGTAGCTGACTATAACACTTACAGAAGGATGCTGTGGCCTCACAGGATCATAGATTCAGAGCTACAAGAGAAGTGAGAAAACTGCTAGCCCATTTCAGAGGTGGTTTTACAAATGTAGAAACCAAGACCCAGGGAATTTAAGCAACTTGCCCAAGATCACACAAATAAGTAGCTAAAACTAGGATTTGAATCCATGGCTTCTGACTCCAGGTCCAGACCTCTATTCATTATTTCCACTGTCTTGACATCCCTGAACTCCCAGGAAGTATAAAATTAATAAAGAACTCACCTTGAATGCCCTGGTTCTAGGACAAACTGCTGATTATTTGAAGCAGCACAATTCTCTTTCTTTTCTTTCTCCTGATCACCCTCCAGTCCCCTAGACTGAGCAGTCCCTGAGGGAGGTATGTGCACCTTAACTAGGAGTGATGACTACAGTCTTATAAAGCCCCAACGCAGAAAGGGAGCTCTCTTAACAGTAATACACCCACTTCTAGAGTTTCCCTTGTACAACTTAGAGGTGATTGAACTCTGTAACAAGCTGACCTCTGAAATCTCTTTAAGGTGAATTCCTGTCACCGGATATGGTTACACAATCCCAAAGGGCATCTGTTTCATTTGTTTCAAACTAAGAGTAAATAAATAATTCTGACCCCATAACACAGTAAGCTTTTTTACAGAAAGAGAGACCGAATCACACAGAGACACAGAAACAGAGACAGAGACAAAGAGAAAATTGTGGAAGGTTCTAGCAGTATATGACCCCAATTTCCCTTCATTTAGCCGTGCAGCTTAAGATCCACTCTGTCCAAGTACTATCAATGCTTAACCAAGGAGGGATGCCTTATTAGAACTTCCGATTTGTCATCAGGGTTAAAACTCCCGACTTTACTCATTCATGCATGTCTCACCCTTGAAACAGAATGAAATCTGCTGGAGAGTAATACACTTTAATTCAACAATCATTTACCAACTTACTAAGTGTTCCAGGCACCAGGCTAGGCACTGGGGGATACAAAGACAGAAACTAAGTCTCTGCCCTCACGTAGCTTGCCTTCTACTAAAAGAATGTTATTATTGTTCACTCTTTTTTTTTTTCCAGTCATGTCTGACTCTTCATGACCCCATTTGGGGTTTTCTTGGTAAAAGATGCCAGAGTAGTTTGCCATTTCCTTCTCCAGCTCATTTTACAGATGAGGAAATTGAGGCAAACAGGATTAGAAACAAAGACGATTGAGTAACTTTCCCAGGGTCACACAGCTATGTACATGTATCTGAGGCTAGATTTGAACTCAGTTCTTCCTGACTCCACACCCAGCATTGTCTCCACTGCACCAACCTAGCTGCCCCTAATTAGAGAAATAAATTGCAGGAAATAATCTACTTTATGTGCAAAGGAATCTGGGAGAAGGAAGGAATGCCATGCATATGCAGTGTGGGAGAAAGTACAAACTTCTCAATCTGGCATTTTGAAGCCTTTCCTGCTCTGGATCCAGCCTACTTCAGCAGAGTTATTTTATGTTGCTCCCCTTTGAACACCACAGCTCAGGCAAACTGACCTTTTTGCTATTTCCTGAAATGAGCATTCTACGTCCCATCTCAGGTTTGTACTCACAAAGTCCCTCCTCATCTCCTCCTCTTGGAACCCTTAGCTACTTTCCCAGGTCATCTTAGGTACCACCGCCTATCTGTGTAATAGGACTGCAAATCTAGAAATGGAAGTCATGCAGTCCAATCCCCTCATTTTACACTTAAGGAAACAGGCCCGTGGAGGTTAGTCCATGTGTAGGCCTTTTTTTCCTTACTCTGGATTACTGTAAAAGCCTGCTGGTTGGTCTGCCTGCCACAAGTCTCTCCGCATTCCAGTCCAGCCTTCATTTAACTGCCAAAGTAATTTTCCTAAAGCAAAATTCTGACCATGTCTCACCCAGCCACTGCTCACTGCTCCCTATTACCTCCAGAATCAAATATAAAATCTTTTGTTTGGCTTTTAAAGCTCATCAAAACCTATCCTCACACCTACCTCCTTCCCCTCCATCCTATTATTCTTCTTATACCTTATACTTTCCCATATACTCTGATCCAGGGACACTGGAACTTGCTGTTCCTTGAATAAGACATTTCATCTTTCCTCATGCCTGGAATACTTTCCCTACTTATCCCCTCCTCCTGGCTTCTTTGGCTTCCTTCAAGTCCCAGCTTAAATCTCACCTTCTAAGGGAAGCCTTTCTCAATCTTTCCTTAGTTCTAGTGCTGACCCTCTGTTGACATTTCCTATTTATCCTGTATATAGGATATTACATTAACAAAGAACTCACCTTGAATGCCCCGGTTCTAGGACAAACTACCTATTCTCTGAAGCAGCATAATTCTCTTTCTTGTCTTTCTCCTGATCACCCTCCAGTCCCCTAGGCTGAGCAGTCCCTGAGGGAGGCAGGTGCACCTTAACTGGGAGTGATGACTACAGTCTCTCTCTATATAGCTTATTTGAACATAGTTGTTTGCATGTTGTCTCCCCTTGATCGTGACGTCCTGGAGATCAGGGACCGTCTTTTGCCTTTCTCTGTAACCTTGGTGCTTAGCACAGTGCCTGGAACATAGTAGGCACTTAATAAATGTTTGTTGATGGACTGACTTGCCCAAGATTAAGAGTAGTGAGAGTCAGACAGAGGCAGGATTTGAACCCAGGTTTTTGGACTTTAAGTCCAATTTTCTGTCTACTGTTTCACATTGCTTCCTCCTGAATTCTCTTCCTTTTACCTCCTCTCATATCATCATGTACTTATACTTATCCATCTTTCTTAGAAAGCAAGCTACTTGAGGACAGGGAATGTTTCCCCTTGTCTTTGTATCCCCAGAATTTAGCAAAGTGCCTTGTATGTTAACAGGTACTCAAAAATTCTTGTTGAGTCTTATCAAGTCATTAAGCACTTAGTAAGTATCTACTATGTATCAATCACTGTACTAAGAGCTGAAGATACAAAGAAAGGGAAAAAATGCTGCAAATAGGAGATAATTAACAGAGGGAAGTCATGAGCATTAAGGGGATTCAGGAAAGGCTTCTTGCAGAAGACAGGATTTTAGCTGGGACCTGAAGGATGCCAGGGAAGCCAGAAGAAAAAGATGAGGAAGAGTTGAATTAAAATGAGAAATGATCTCCAGGGATTTATGTGGTGGACTTATCTGATTGTTGACAGGTTAAGATGATAGAATTCAGCTGATTAAAAGTAAGGGCAGATTCAAACATTTCCTTGAGTTTCAACAGAATCAAGTTCTCTCATCTCTGAATTCCCAGAGAATTACTTTATGGACCATACAATTTATCACCTATTTTACATTAAATTGTCCAATTGTTTTATGTGTCTTTGTCTTGTCTCCCTGCCTGGAATATGAGCCCCTTGATGGGATCCATGTCTTAAACTTTTTGCCTCATATGATAACTTCTATGCATTAACTCAGCAAACACAATTAGGGACAAATGTTATAGGTTGTTCAGGCATTAAGACCAGCACTGTCAAGGAAGTATAGTAGATTTCTAGCATAGGGCTGGCTATTCTTGTTAGTTATACAGTAATGATCAGTTAGATGTTAGTCTAATGGTCACTTCAGTTTAGCTTTTTTGAAATTGAATTCCATGCCTCTTTAGAAGCTCAACATTTAGCTTAAACAAGTATAAAATCTAGGGTACCTCCCCAACTTACAGAATATATACTTTAGTGGATGGTTATCTTACAGTCAAGATACTCTGTAGGTCAGCATCCATATTCCTGAAACTAAAGTTCATGAGCCCCTACCAAAGTGTTTACCTGTAATAGTCAGCCAGAGGATACAATTAACTCAAACAAAGGCATTTAATGAAATGGTATGGTTTTAAAAAACAGTAGCAATAAAACATTTCATCCATAAAACTGGGGTGTACTCTCCAACAAATGCATATGACATTAGCTGGAAGAATGGATACACATAAAGAACACAAGTGGAGAGGGACACATATCAGGAACATGTATGACTGGGCATACACTGTTAGAGGCATACACATAGAGAAACAAGTGGCCAAGCACTTCTGCTGAATAACTTGCTCCCCACTGATCTCATGGTAAGCCCCTCTGGGTTCCTACTTTACTGATTGCTGCCCGGCATTGTTCCTCTGGAGTTTCTGCCACGTCCAACTTCTGGCTCAGCTGAAATCCCCAGCTAAGGTATAATTGTGTTCTTTTAGCTATCTGTTTTAGAAAAAGTAGATGCCTCCTCTGTTTTGTTGTTTTGCCCTCGAGTCTGAAATCTAAGATCTCTCCTCTCCTGGCAAGAGATTCTCTAACCCAGTGCCAAGATCTTTAGAACAAAGAGCAGGGTTGTCCAAACTAGATAGTGCCCTTAGGCTTCATCTTTTCTTTCCATGATTTATCCTAATTTGGGACTTGGTCTCCTAAGTCAGAGACTTTACCTTAATTTATGGCAATTGTTCAACATATACTTTCCAAATTTTCATCTCTTCGATCTAGGCTATAAAACAGGCAATGGTTATTTGCCTAATTATTATAAAATAGTTTGGGGGGGTGCAGTTTTGGGGCTCCTCAGTCTCTAAACCAGAAATCTCTCTTCTTTGGCCATACAGACGAATGGGCAGAAAAAAGATACAGAAACAAACTGGGGGGGGGGGAAGCTGTTGTCCCTACTACCACCTCAGCCCCTTCATTTGCAGATGAGTCAAATCCAAAGCTGATAACATTCAATAAAGATGAGCCAGGCCTTGGAAAACTAGCTGAGGCTGCCCACTCTTACTGAAAATTGATTTATATATTAACAAGCCAACCTATAGCTTTTATAATTTGTGCTGAGAACCATTGCTATTAAGATGGATCAGCAAATTCTTTTCCCAGCAGGGAAGCCTATTTAATAGTTTGTATTCAAATTAGAAAACAATTTGATGAATGTAAAAATCTCATTTCCTGAGTTTGTTCTGCCTTCTCCCCCCACCCTGTATTTACATGGGCCATCCTTCATGCCTGGAATCAACTTTCTCTACATCTTTACCCTACAGAAATCCTTCTAAGGGGCAACTATTTCCCAACACTCAGTGTGTTACCTCCTAGCTAAGAGGTAATGCTGTATATGTCAAGTGCCTCTGGAGTTTGGGGTTGGAAGATGGAGAGATGGGTTGTGATTTGTATCTTGGAAGGAATAACCACAACAGGACCACAAATCTGTTTAAGTTTGCAATATTATTTGAATATTTATGACAGCATATTGGCATAAACCTAATCCAGTATTTCCACATGATGTAAAACAGTCAACATGCTACTCCCAACAAAAAACTGAATTGGTCAAGAGTATGTCTTATAAACCCATTGCTCAAGTCCAGTCCTCATATGCAGATAAGGCAATCTAAGTTTTTTTCCTAGAAGAAACATCCCTGTATAAGATAACAACCAGATGAAAGAATGACTAGTTTGGGCAGCTAGATGGCTCAGTGGATAGAGTACCAGTCAGGAAGACCTGAATTCAAATCCAGCCTCAG